TATTTTGTGTCTACATGTGGTTATTCTGTTGTACTGTACTGGCGACTTCTAGACTATTTTTGTGACGGACCCAGTAAATTATCGCTGCCAGCTGTAGAAGTAGCTGGCAGAAGGAATGCAGGTTGGGATTCTAAGAGATGACTGTAACACTTCAGGCAAACAGCTGATGGTCAATGGGTTATTTGGCTTCAAAAGATGTAGACATTGTTGCAGGTTTCTCTCTTCTTCACCCAAGATTTGTCTTGGAACATACTCCATGGATTGTTGGCATGGCCGTAAGCCAATATTCACTGGGGGAATTTTAGGTCGTGGGAGAAGCAGACTCTGACAGGAGTCTGGCCTGATTGTATTCTGGATCATATGACATTCAACTTCCTAAGGACTTGCAGACTGTGGACAGAATTTTAACACACCTTGCTGTAGCGGGATTCATGACAAGTTGGACCATAGAACCACCCATCAGTGGGTGCATTGGAAACCTGGTGGTAAAGACTGATGGCAGAAGAAATCAGCTGTTGTGGAACTAGTGAAGTGGTGAACGCACAATGTTGATGCTACGGGTTGAGGAGCACAACTTGACAAAAGGAAGAGCAAACAGAGAAAGGCCTAGAATCAGAACTAGAGAGATCACGTACCCAATATTATTGGACACACAAGCAATGGAGAAGCATTGCTGTGGGCTGTGAATGCAGGTACTGGAGTCTTCAAGGCTGGGGAGATGGGAGAAACATTTAGCCTCAATTATGGGTGTTATGGGCAAAGGGAAAGTCTGGGAAGGCGGGTCAATGGTCTCTGTCCACTGGATTCATTGAGATGATTGTTTTGTCGAACAGAATATTCCTTCTTAGTTTTCCTTCTTTATGTACTTTCACTTGTTTGCAGGAGGCACAAGGTGACTGGTGCACATTTATAAAAGTCTCTTGATTTATTAAGTAAAAGTTCAATGCACTCCTGGATGATCTCTTGCACTCCACCATCTAAAAGCACTGCCCATATCTTTACTCACAGTGGATCTGTTTTCCTATTACATGCTTGTGTTCATTGACCTATATTGACTACTGGTCAAGCAATATCTTTATTTCAAAATTCTCATCTTTGTTCTCAAATCTTTTCATGGCCTATCCCCTCCCAATGTGTCTAACAACATCCAACTCCAGAACCCCTGGTTTTTAGCTAGCGCAGTTGAATCCAGAACTCATGTAAAACCATTCAGAGCATTTGACACAACAGTCTGGGCTTTGCCTTGGAGGAATGGGGTGATGGGGAAAAGGGTTGTTGGTTTGAGCTCAGGAAAACCCAGAAGACTGGGTTCATCCAACGTCCTGCAGAATTTGACCACACGTTCTTGGTGGGTGGAGCAGCCCGATTGATAGGCTGGAAATCCAAGACAGAGAGTCACAATGCAGTCATTGTATGTGCAGTCATTAAAAAGAGTGCAAAGAAGATTTGACAGAATGGTACCAGAGACATCAGTTCTGTGCAGAAATTAGAGGAGCTGAAATTTTATTCTTTACAAAAAGATTTTTAAGGGGCGTGTTCACAGAGGTGTTCAAAATGATGGGAGTTTTGATACAGTAACTAAGAGAAACTTGTTTCCATTGGTGGGATGGTCAGTATCCAGCAGACACAGATTTCTGCTAAAGAACCAGAGAAGGCAAGGGGAGGAGATTTTTATTCAACGGCAAGTGGTCATGATCTGGAATACGCCGACTGAAAAGGAACAGGGAGAAAAATGGGAAGCATTTCGATAATAACTTTCAAAATGGACAATTAGATAAGCACTTGAGAGAGATTTTTTTTAAAAAAATGTAGAGCTATGGGGAAAGAATGGAACAATGGGTTGAATGGATAGTTCATTCAAAGGTCCAGCACAGGCACCATGGTCCAAATGGCCTCCCTCTGGGCTGTCCAATTCCATGATGATTCAACGCACATTGGGTGATATCTGGGAACAGTAGATCTGATACCCCAAGGTAGTGATGGGATGGAATATAGTTTGGTGTATGCAGTAGCAAGATGGTTTTCCATGACTTTAGAGTCCAACCATCTTCAGTTGTTTGCATCAATGACTTTCCCTCTATCATGGAGATATCTATTGATGATGGTACAGTGTTCAGCACCATTCACGATTCCTCAGGCATTGAATCAGTCCATATCTAAATGCAGCAAGACCTGGTCAATATCCAGTTGTGGACTGACAAGTGGCAAATAGTATTCCTGCCAATATGTGCCAGGCACTCAAATAAAAGAGAATCAAATCATTGTCCCTTGATGTTCAATTGCATTACCATTGCTGAATCCCCACTATCAATATCCTGAGGATTACCATTGAGCAGAAACTCTACTGATATCACCATATAAACATAATGGCAACAAGAGCAAGTCAGTAACTCAACTCCTGACTTCCCAAGAATTGTTCACCATCTGCAAGGCACAAGTCAGGACTGTGATGGAATACTCCCATTTGATTAGATTGCTGTAGCTCCAACAATACTAAAGAAGCTCCATGCCATCCAGGAGAACACAGCCCGCTTGATTGGCTCCACATCTGCAAACTTCCACTCCCTCCACCATTGACGCTTAGTAGCAGCAGTGTGTATCATCTACAAGAGGCACTGCAAAAATTCACCAAAGATCCTTAGGCAGCTCCTTCCAAACCCACGACCATTTCCATCTAGAAGGACAAGGGAAGCAGATACATGGGAACACCACCATTTGCAAATTCCCCTCGGAGCCACTCACCATCCTGACTTGGAAATATATTGCCGTTACTTCACTGTTGCTAGTAAAAATCCTAGAATTCTCTCCGTAGGGGCATTGTGGGTTTACCTACAGCACATGGATCTCATTGGTTTTAGAAGGCAGCTCACTACCACCTTCTCAAAGGCAACTCAGGATGGGCAAAAAATGGTGTCCCAGCCAGCACTGCCCACACCCCACATGGTGTCAATAATGCAAAGGTGCCCCATGGTAAATAGAATGCTATGTTTTCCATTACTAAACAAGTGACAAGAGCACATCGCTGATCACAATGGAGACACTTCACAACATATTGGCGAGGTCAGTTCTGTTTTATTAAATTTACATTCAATCACCTCCTCCAGTCCAATGATGAGTTGAGGCTCCAATAAATACTGGTACATATTTGGCTTTGTTTGTAACAGTATTAAGGAAAAAAAAAGAATTACTGGTCTGGTTGACAACACGGGAAGACAAAAATGTTGCACATCTACAACTGATTTGATACTTCTACAAATTACTAATGCTTTGAACTCACAATGTGTGATATTGGTGTTGAACACATCAAAAGGACTGTTTGAAATTCTCTGCTGTTATAACAAAGGCATTAATCATTAACAGTTGAATTAAGAACACCAAAGAAAATTCATATAAGCGCAGTTTAATGTTCTTTTTACCAATAATCCACAGTAAGATTTATTAGAAGATGGTCACTCTGGATTCTGTTTCACACAATGACATTGTGGCTTCTCCATTGTCCCCACCCCACTCCAGCCCAAACTGGCTCGTTCATCTAAACACCATACAAAGCTTTAAAGAATCGTGGTGTGTCGTTTACAAAAGGAAAATAGAAAGAATTAAATGTTATTTAAGAATTGGGGGTATGGATTGCCCTTGCTAAGATTTTATGTGGACAGAAAGATACATTTCATCTGTAAATAGTTTCTTGCATTGATCTATGACCATACACAGTGATGCAGAGCCCTATAAAGGACTGCACTCACAACTTCGCCTCAAAATAAAAAATTGTAACTATCAAGCTGCTTAAAATTTATTCTGAGAATATGATACACAGATACTCTGTAACTGGATTGATATTAGCACAGAAAGGTCTCTGCTTCACATGTTAGATTGTATATAGTGGAAAATTACTGACTTCTTTTAAATGGAAAATTAGCTTAGAGTCTCCGATGAGTCTCCTTAAAAAGGAGAAAGGAGTTCCAAGGAATATGAAATGGCATATATAAATACAGGCCCAGGTCAGGAAAAAAAAGGTAGCCATTTACAGAATGCCAAACTTCGCATTCCCATCTGCTTCCGACATCCATTGTGCTGAAGAAGCTCAAGGTTTTCGGGAGTAGGCAGGAATGTGGATCTGAGGCAGAAATCAAATCAGCCATGATCTTATTGAATGACAGAACTGGCTCATTGAGCTGAATGGCCTATCCCTGCTCCTAATTCATATGTTTAACTTCAGTTACTATCTCAACAAAAACTGGAGAAAGCAAACTTTGATTAGGGTACAAAGGTTTCGTTTCTCAGTGAATACAGTGCTTTGCTGGAGATAACAAGGTGTAGAGCTGGATGAAGAAAATGAAGAAGGGTCTAGGCCCGAAACGTCAGCCTTCCTGCTCCTCTGATGCTGCTTGGCCTGCTGTGTTCATCCAGCTCTACACCTTGTTATCTCAGATTCTCCAGCATCTGCAGTTCCTACTACCTTTGCTTGATAATGACAGTTTACAACTTCATTAACAAGTCACAAGGGCACAGAAGGATATGGAGCCAAGGATAGTGATAGGATACAGACCAGAAATCACACGACACCAGCTTTCGGAGTCTTACCCTTTCTTCAGGTGTTAGTGAGTCAGGTAATGTCAGACACAAGAACTTATAAGTAAAAGTTCATCAGTGGTGTGACCCTTTGAGGATGTATTAAACAAACCTAAGATGCTGTTAAATCTTTAATCAGTTAGAATGCTTTAATTGATTAGTATGTATATGTAAATCCTCAAATTCCCTTGAAGTCACTGTCCTGAGAGAAGTAAAGGTTTTATCAGTGTAAAGAAGAGGTGACATATTAGGTCAGACAATGCATGTTAGGTGTGAGGCCATGTTTAGAATCTGTTTGTGTCTTGGTTTGGAGTCAGACTGGTTTTATTTCTGAAGTACATCCGCATCAGTGGTGTGACCCTTTGATCCTTTATTTATAAATTCTGTATCTGATACTACCTCTCTCACTAACACCTGAAGAAGGAGTAAGACTCGGAAAGCTTGTGTTTTCTAATAAACCTGTTGGACTATAACCCGGTGTCGTGTGATTTCTGACCTTGTCCATCCCAGTCCAACACCGGCACCTCCACATCGAAGATACAGACCAGCCAAGATTACATTGAATGGCAGAACAGGCATGATGGGCTGAATGGTCTCCTGCAATTTCCGATTTGTCTGGCTGGTTTTGGCTGAGACAGGCTCCTTCAGCAAAGCCCCACCCACAATTCTGTCACACCAATGATTGGCCTGATCCAATGTCAATCATCGAGTTAGGTATTTGGATTGGCTGGATGATGCTTCCAATGAGAAGCCAGCTTTTTTTCTTATTAAAGATTGGAGGGGCTGATGAGGGGCACAATCTCCCTCACATTAAAATAAAATGGGAAAAGCACAGTGGGAAGCGACCTATCTTAATAATGATCTCTGAAGCTCATTAAAAGAAAAGGATACCAATAGATTAAACAGGCAAAAACAAACTGATTTTAAAATATGGAAAAAGAAGAAGAGGTGACAATAAGACTAGCTGTACAAGAGTAGCTAAAATGTTGTTGGAGTTTGGATTTGACATGCAATAACGACTATTTCAGATGTTTGGATAGATGGAACATTATACAATTTGGGGTTAAATTTAACGGCATCATCTACAAACTGGAACACCCTTCATGGCCCTGCCACCCACCAACCCCTTAAAAAAAGACTGGTTAGCACAGGAAAAGATTCAATCCCAGCTGCCCACTCCAGACAGCAGGTCAAAAACTGTTGTGTGGCAAGATATTGTTCACTCAGAACAATCTTCACACAAAATAGGGCAGTTTAACACTCTCTATGACATGTTTGACAGTTTTAGACTAAATTACTGGCTTGACCATGACTGGGAAATCAGAAGCTCCATAAAGTGGCAGAAATTGTCAAATACAGAAACTAGACATAAGTGATTGCAATCTCCAGCAAAGCAAAATGTCTTGCAAGGAGTTTTAGTACTTCACTGTGATTGATTCTTCTCGACAGATAATCTATTGAGACCACAAAAAGGGCAATGGCATATCTGCGCCCATTTCCCTCCTGGTACTAGGTAGGTGCTGGGGGTGCAGAGCAATGAGAGCCAGGGTCAAGCAACTGCTTGTTGCAGAGGGTTGTATTGATCTCCAGTGCCACTGAATCCCGTTCTCTTCAGTGAGGGATGGTGTTCAGTGGTCCATGATTGAAGACGTAAATTTATGGTTCAGTTGTGTGTCGCCCAATCACTTGCAATGCCACCACAATATGCAAAAATGGACCCAATCAAATTTTCAGATGTGAAGCCTTTGGATTCCCAGTTTAACCAATGAAGCTGCTTTCTTTGTAACAATGTCCATGATTGACTGAAAGTGAGCCCAGGAGGATAAAGGCTTCTCCAGAGGCCAAAGGGAGAGGAGGGACATTGTTAAGACACTTCAGTGCCCCATTCAGTTCAACGCATCGAGAGCAGCACAAACTTGAGCGAAGACCTCATCCACTGTACCCTCTGCATTTATCTAATGATTGGAAAAAAAACACAGACAACAGCTGAGTGAGTCAAATTGTCCTTCTTACATTTGATTTGTTTCAAAACTTTTTCTTCCAGTTCCATCCATCCCACACCCATCCTGCCCCTCTCTCTGGGTGACTGTAATGTTTAGATGTTCGAATTCACAGAAGGCTATTTGACAACATGGGGCACCATAGTCAAGTTCCACCCCTGACACAACATCCACAAACACTCACTTCCCAACATGTTAACATTTGATATATGACGTGGGTCTGGTTGATCTGTTCTCTTCAAAGGCCAGAGAACCAAGGTCAATTTTAGAAGCCCTGACTTACTGTGATAGCTATACCACTATCAGATAACTCAGTGAACAGGCAACAAGTTTTATTGACACTTCCATTGTCTCTAATGACAGAGTGTATAATGTATTGACCATTGAAGGCGCTAGGCCGTGCTTTGACCTATAGGCCTCAGTGGGTAGAATAGCACTGGGGCCGAATATTGAAGCCTCTCCAACTGATGATATGGAACCACAGTCTGCAAAGGACCACAGGCATCTCTCTCAATTATGGAGAGGCAATTAGGTATGTGTAGCTCGAGGGCAACCAGTCTATAAACATGGGGTAAGGTGAGGGGGGCTAGTCCTCCATGAACCCCTCCAGTCGATACAGGGATTGAAACCATGCAGTTGGCATTAGTCTGCACCACCCTCTTGTCTTTTAGCCAACTGAGCTAACCAAACTCCCCTGTCAACTGATAAACAGCGTCAATTCATCATGCTTCTGGCCGATTCACACCAAGGTGTGAACGCATTGGGCAGCACCACCCTGGGCAAACACGTACTCTTGTTGTGGATTACCAATGGCAGCATCTGTGCTTAAAAGGGCTTTTCCTGACTCTGCTGCCACTGCACAGCTCATCCCAAACTTAATCCAAAATTCAGATGCTCATGGATTACCCACAAATCCCCTGTACGTGGCTCTCAAGCTTATTTCATCCCCTGCTTCATGCACTTTATTGATTTCAGAGTCATCTTAGAATTGAACACATGGAGTTGGGATTTGAGAAGAATGCTCCTATCAAGCTACTGTTTGCTTTTGTAACTTTAACAAGCATTGTCACATTCTTGCTGTTCCAGGCCTCACCTTCCTAATGATGCCCCTGGGTTGGTAGAAGTTGATGACTGGTTCAGTTGCTTTGTAATAGGTCTCCAGGCGTTTTGTGATGGTCTCTTCATTGTCATCAGCACGCCCACTAGTCTTTCCTCGCCCCAGGAGCCGTTTGATCATTGTCTCCTTTCCAGCATCGATGTACAAGAGCAGGGTGGGAGGCCCAATCTATGGGAGTGAACAATGTGCATAGTCATCTGGAGGAGATTTGCCAAAATCCAGCTCACAATTCTCATTGCTCCTCTCATTTTCTCTCTCACAATGTCTGAAATCAGAACCCTGGCTTGGTTTTCTTCTTTAGTAACTTGTACATCCTTTAGCTTTGGAGTGGAAACATTTCCAATTTGGGCAAACAGAGTCAAGAGTCAAACACTCCCAGATCAGACACAGAACAGGTGATTTACACAGTAAACCCCTCACTACACTGTTCCCTCAAACACTCCCAGATCAGACACAGAACAGGTGATTTACACAGTAAACCCCTTGGAGCTCACTGTCCCTCAAACACTCCCAGACTGGCCGAAACCAGAAGCAGCTCACGGCCACTGTCTCTGATGAAGCTTACTCCCTCTAGTCAATGAAATCCTTTGGGAAGATCCTGTTCCAGGAAATGCAGTTGGTCCATGACTGGCTGATATACAGAAAGATCTCTTCCTCAGGAAATAGCTGGCTTTGCCCTCACCTCTGGCAAAATTTGTAAAGAATTTTCAGAGACAAAATGGAAAACAAGAAATCTATACTAAAGTGTATCAAAGATTATGGATGGTTGGGGAGATGGGAAGAATACTTGCTCTTAACTGATTCCAATTAGAGCCACTATACACACAGAAAAGAAACCTGAACCAATATTGGCCGTGTGTCAAAGACAAATATATTGCTGTTCTGAACAAATAGTTCCCACTAAGTCAAAAGTGGAATGACATCACTATTAGTGTTTTGCCATGTGTTGGATGTGCTACTGGAAATGTGAATATTTAATCTTAACAACTAAATCCTCCAGCCTCCTCCACTACCATCTGTCTTCTCCTCAAGGCTCAAGGTATCATCCCAGAAGAAACTCCACTCTCTCACTCAAGTCACCAGTTTTCAGTTGGGAGCCTCAGTAGTGAGAAGCAGCCAATGGAAATCATGCAGAAGGGGAGGTTTCTCCATTTCTGAACCCAACTGCTTTCTTCCCTGATCTCACACATGGCTCTTTTCCTGTGGGAAGTGACCAGGACAGGGAGCTCTGGCCAATCCATTTCAGTGCCCCACAGGACCAAAGTCAGCGGCATCCTCACCACTCTGTAAAAGTCAGGACACAAATCACCTCAACTGCAAGCCCTTCACTGCCATTCTAGCTGCAGGGAGTGGCTCAGCCCTGACCAATATTGTCAAGTCCAGCTGGAATTATGGCAAGTCTAGCTCATTCCTGTTATTAACAGAATTCCTGAACTAATTGTCTCCGGTCCTGAGCTCAAATGTACCTACAACGATTTCCAATCCAATTGGAGATAGGGTCCAAAGATGGCCCTAAAACTTTCTGCTTTCCTAAGTAGGCCACTGACAAACTGAGTAACACACGGCCTTTTTTCTTAAAGAAGACTAACTCATTGGTTCACAGTTCAACCGCACATAGTGAGGTGACCTTGCTACTCTCACATCTGGTTCACACCGGCATCCCCTAACTTACCTTCAGGTTTTCTTCCTCCTGTCCTGGGCTGATGGTAAAATCCTGTTGCTGACCTGGGTGGTGGACCTTTCTGGATGGGCTTGGGCTGCAGCTATTACTTCTTCCACTACACCATTCAGCCCTTCACTCCTTCAGGAAACACCTTGTCCCTTGTCCTAGGTTCTCACTGTGAGTGGGTCTTGTATTGTGGGACATATTTTGAGAAAGGAACTTTAAGTGTCGCACTTGCCTAGATTTATATTTGATCTGGACAGTCAGTCTCAGAAAGTAATAGAATTGTGCCGATGAAGGCCATTCAGCCCACCATGTCTCTGATGGCTCTCTGAGCTGAGACAATATACAAAATGAAGGCTTTTTTCCCCTCCCACAAACCATTTTGAACAGTGAGATTAGATAAAGTACTTAAATCATGAAATAGTTCAGGGGACATTGACTCTTGCTGGCAAGGTTGGCATTTAGTGCCCAGTCCCAGGTGCCCTAGAGAACCAAGGGTGCTACCACTATACATTTCAGTCGGGAGTTCCAGGATTTTGATCTGAAATTATTAAGAAATGGCATGGGTACATGGCCAAGCAGGGATGCAGAGAGACTCAGAAGGGAACTTGGGAGATGATGCCCTTCCTAAAGTACCAGCTACCTCTGTTGGTCTGACTAGGGGAGCCTGTGGATTTGGGTGATTGTGTTGTCATCACAGTACCAGGGTTACCAGGCCTAAGGTGACCAGGCATTGGGAATGAAACAATTTTTAAAAATATCTCGCCTTTACAGCTATGGGAGTTAAAGAAAGGTCTCACTAAATTT